TCAACACTAAGAAAATGAATAAGACAATTAAAAAATGGCCAAAGACTTAACAACACCTCACTGAAGAAGATACTCAGATGGCAAGTAAGCGTATAAAAAGATGCTCTGCATCATATTAGAGAAATGTAAATTAAAACAACAATGAAATACCACAACACACCCATTAGAAAGGCCAAAATCCAGAACACTGATAATCTCAAATGCCTGCAAGGATGTAGAGCAACAGGAACTCTCATTCATTGCTGGTGAGGATGCAAGACACAGTCACTTTGGAAGACAATCTGGCAGCTTCTTGCAAAACTAAACACACTCTTTCCATACAATCCAGCAATCATACTCCTTGCTATTACCCAAAGGAGTTGAAAACATATGTCCACACAAACACCTGCACAGAGATGTTTATAGCAGGTTTATTCATAATTGCTGTTGTGGGCTGAATGTTTGTGGACCCTTGAAATTCATATGTTGAAATCTAATCACCCATGTGATGGTATCTGGAGTTGGGCCTTTGGGAGGGAACTAGTTCATAAGAATAGAACATTCAAGAATGGGATTAGAAGACGCCAGAGAGCTAGCCTTGCCTTCTTTCAGCCATGTAAGGATACAAGTCACTTGTCTGCAACCGGTAAGATGGCCTTTACCAGAACTTGACTATACTGGCACCATGACCTTGGCCTTCCAGCCTTCAGAACTGTGAGAAGTAAATGTTTGTTGTTCAAGCCACCCAGTTTATGGTCATTTGTTAGAGCAGTCTGAACTAAGACCACTGTCAAAACCTAGAAGCAACCAAAAATGTCCCTCAGTAGGTGAATAAATTGTGGCACATCCAGACAATAAAATATTATTCAGAGTTCAAAAGAAATATGCTTTCAAGCCATGAAAAGACTCAGAAGAAACTTAAATACAGCTTGCTAGTGAAAGAAGTCAATATGAAAATGTTGATGATTCAAGCAATATGACATTCTAGAAAAGGCAAAACTATGAAGACAGTAAAATCTTAGTGGCTGTCTGGGAATGCAGCAGGGGAGAATAGGTAGAGCACAGGAGTTTTGGAGCAGTGAAACTATTTCATATGCAACAGTAATGGTAGATGCATGACATTATGCCATAGCACTGTATAACACCTAGAGTGAAACCTAATGTAAACTGTGGACTTTGGATGATAACGATGTGTCAATGTAGGTTCATCCATTGCTTTTTTGTTGTTGTTGCTGTTTTGACACAAGGCCTCGCTCTGTTGCCCAGGTTGGATTTGGAGTGCAGTGGTGCAATCTTGGCTCACAGTGACCTCCGCCTCCCAGGTTCAAGTAATTCTCATGTCTCAGCCTCCTGAGTAGCTGGGACTATAGGTGCGCACCACCACACCCAGCTAATTTTTTTTTTTTTGTATTTTTAATAGATACAGGGTTTTGCCACATTGGCCAGGCTAGTTTTGAACTCCTGGCCTCAAGTGATCCGCCTGCCTTGGCCTCCCAATGTGCTGGGATTACAGATGTGAGGCACTGCGCCTGGTCACACTACAAAATTTATTTTAAAAATTTTAAAAATTCTAGTTATCACTTTCCCTGACACCCACCACCAGCTACAGCCCTATTTCCCTGTTTCCCTGTATTGCAAAACTCTTCAAAAGACTTGTCCATATTTGCTACCCCAATTCTTCTACTACTCTTACTTCAACCTTTCTAATCAATCTCTCTAGTCCTTATGCCTACGCAAATTGCTTTTACCAGTTGCCAAATCTAATGGACAGTTGTTATTCTGCATCTTACTTGATTTATCAACAGCTTCTGACACAGGTGACCACTCCTTCCTCCTGAAAACATTTTCTTCCTTTAGCTTTCAGGGTACTCTTCTCTCCTGGGTTTCCTACTACTTTACTGATGATCACCCTCAGTCACCTTTGCTGGTTCCTCATCTTCTCCCTAATCTCTAAACACTGGAGTTCCCCTGGCCTCATTTCATCCCTACTTCATTCTCTCCTTTGCTGATCTCATCCTGTCTCCTGTTTTTAAAAAAATATCATCTAAATGCCAAGAGTTCTAAATGAGTCTGATTCTCTAGCTCAGATTTCCCCCTTGAACTCTAGACTGTACATCTAGTTGCCTGTTAAATAATTCTATTTGCCTGGCAACTGACCAGGTAAATTTGACTGATATCAAACTTAACCAAAGCTTATCTCTCACTGTACCCCTAAAACCTGTTCTACTTGTAGTCTCTCCCATCTCAGTTAGTAGCAATTTCATTTTTCCATTTGCTTGAATCAAAATCTCTAGGACCATCTTTGACTCCTTTCTTTCACACCTTAAATTCAGTGCATTTCTCTATGTCCTCAGCATAACCACCTCTCACTATCTCCACTGCCCTCTCCCTGATCTGAAGAACCCTCATCTCTTGCCTGGCCTATTACAATAGTGGCCTAACTGGTCTCCTTGCTTCTATTCTTACTTGCTACTGTTTATTCTCAGCACAGAAGTGAAAATGATCCTTTTAAAATAAAAGTTGTATCAAGTCTCTGCTCAAAACCCTACAGTGGCTCCCCATTTAATTGAGAGTAAAGGCCTTTCAACAGCCTACAAAGCTCTTTGTAACCTGCACTCTCACCCCTACTGCACTCTGACCACACCACCTGCTATTCTTCATTCATGCTCAGCTCCAGCCTCACCAGCCTCCTGTTTCTTTTCCTTATGCCACAGCCTTTCACTAGCTGCTCCCTCAGATGTCCAGATGGCTAATGCCCTTACATCTTTCAAGCCTTTGTTTGAACATCATCTTTTCATTGAGGCTGACTCTGACCACGCTAGCTAAAAGTGTAACCCCTAGCTCTAGTGGAACTCTCCATGCTCCTCTTAACCCAATACATTTTTTCCTTGCATTTATCATCCTCTAATATACTATATAACTTATTTCCTTGTATATTATATGTCTTCCCTACCCACCTCCAAACAATAAGCTCCACTAGGAGAAAGATCTTTGTTTTATTCGCTACATGTCCAAATCACCTAGAACACTGCAGGCTCTCAAAAAATATTTGTTAAGGGCCTGGCATAGTGGCTAATGCCTGTAATCCTAGCACTATGGGGCTGAGGTCACACCATTGTGCTCCCATCTGGGAGACAGAGCAAGACTACGTCTAAAAAGAAAAAAAAAAAATTGTTAAGGCTGGGTGCTTTGGTTCATCCCAGTACTTTGGGAGGCTAAGGTTAGCCGATTGCTTGAGCTTAAGACTTTGAAACCAACTTGGGTAATACGGCAAAATCCCATCTCTACAAAAATTACCTGGGTGTGGTGGCAGGTGCCTTGGGAAGCTGAGGTGGGAGGATCGCTTGAGCCCAGGAGGTAGAGGTTACAGTGAGCTGAAATTGTGCCCCAGCCTGGCGACAGAGAGAGACTGTCTCAAAAAATTTTGTTATTGTTGTTAAAAAGAAGTACTATTTCCTATTATGTGGAAATGGCACTCCTAGAAATTATGTATCAGATACTTGATGGAATGGCTTCAGGCTACAAAAAGACTCATAGGATGAGAATGTGGCTTAAGAGCCTATATTTGAGAATCACTCTAGAACTCAGATGCCTCTTGACTGCCCTCCTCTCCCCAACCATCCCATCCTTGCCAGTTACAATTATCTATAAAGTCACTGAAGAGGCTCATCTAAAAGCACAATGACCTGCCTGGGCTCCTGCAGCTCAACAAACTCAGTTTTGGCCTCACTTCTAAGACCAAGCTAGTGACCTAGTATCCAGGTCATCATCTCAGCCTTCCTGCTAGTCCAGCTTTAACTGAACTCACTCAGAACAACTAGATTCTTGCTTGCTCATGAAGAACAAGCCTTATATCTCAGTTCCAGTAATTAGGGACCCTTGCCTTTCTCTCCATATTTCATTTCCTGTCTTGGTATCCTGATCAATATTCTGGTTCCCCACACTTATACCTAGTACTTGTGTTTACTTCGTCTTTCTGGAGTACTGTCCTGGGCCCAGTCCCAGTTTCTAAGCCCCAGAACTGACTCTCAGGACCAGGTCCTCTGTCTTTTGCTTCCTTCCAGACCTCCTGGCTCCTGGGTTCTGCTTGCCAGGCCTCCCTAGATCTCCTTAACTCCAACTGTCTGTTAACCTGGACCTCTGCCCTCAGACACCTTGACCCCTTCAACTCCCCTTCCCCATTACTCCCTTACCTGAATGTCCTGATGCCCTCTTAATGTTAATTCTGAGACCTTTCTGAAGAGCGAGCCAAGCCCTGGTCCATTTGGTCTCTCTATTTAAGACTGAATAAGGACTATCTCAGCCCTGGCTGAGCTTTGAGCCTGAAAATAATGAACATGAACTTCTAGTTCTTCAAAGGGCATAGTCAATCTTCCTAACAGTGTCAAAATGCTCTCAGCTAAGATAGTTGAAGTTGGTTGTCAAAAATAATCCATGTCAAGCACTTTTGTTTTCTGTAGCAGACCTACCTGCTTTATTTGGATCCTTTCACTTGGGTGATACCAGAATATACCTTGCATTCTGGTGCTTCAAAAAAGAAATCAGATTTCTCAGGAAACTGGGCCCAAATAAAAAGAAAACAACAGGCCGGGTGTGGTGACTCACACCTGTAATCCCAGCACTTTGGGAGGCTAAGGCAGGTGGATCACATGAGATCAGGAATTGGAGACCAGCCTGACCAACTCTATCTCTCTCAAAATACAAAAATTAGTAGGGCATTGTGGTGTGTGTACCTGTAATCCCAGCTACTTGGGAGGCTAACGCAGGAGAATCAATTGAACCTGGGAGGTGGAGGTTGTGGTGAGCTGAGATTATGCCACTGCACTCCAGCCTGGGCAACAGAATGAGACTCCATCACACTCATACACACACACACACACACACACACACACACACACACGCACACACACACACAAATGATGGCTACTGGAGTCAGCCCAGGACTGGAAGTTATATAATCCTTGGATCCAATTTTTACCCTTACTAGTCCTGGTATATCTCATAGGATTAAAGCCACATACCTAGAAGCATCAAGGAATGGTCTATAGGCCAAGCTGATCCATTCTTCTTTATTGGATGAGTATTTTGGCTCCCGGGGTGTTTCTCTCATGGTGTCCAAATCCACTAAATAATGGCATTTGCTGATATCGATCTGAAATGGAGAATGGCCAACTCTTCATTAGTAATTTCAATTCTCTATCCCTTCAGGATAGAGAACAGCAATTGTAATCCTAAAAATTCACAGAGCTTTGGAGGAACAAACATCCAAGTCCTCAGACAATGTTGCCTGTGCTCTCTCCACTCAGATAAGAGTATTCAGGCTCTTGGGAGGGAGAGATGCACTCATTCAGCCAAATAGATATGTAAGCTTTGGCTGGCCTGATTCTAGGTTGGGTTTTTAAGTTCTTCTAGTCCCACAGACACTTCCAAAGCCACCATGAGCCCACAGTCTTCCTCTGGAAAACCTATCTTCTTCTGCTCACTACTGCACCCTTCCAGTCCATCACCTCTTTATTCCACAGATTCAAAGGGCATGACTAAACACAGATGCTAATATGTGAGAAGGCCTGCCTCTCCTGACAGCCAGGGGAGGTTACACTACACCTCACAGGGGGTACAGAAATATGCATATAATCTCCTTCAAATACTCTTTTTTTTTTTTTAAATGAAGTTTTGCTCTTGTTGCCCAAGCTGAAGAGCAATGGCTGGATCTTGGCTCACTGTAACCTCTGCCTCCTGGGTTTGAGCAATTCTCCTGCCTCAGACTCCCAAGTAGCTGGGATTACAGGTATGTGCCACCATGCCTAGCTATTTTTTTTTTTTTTTTTTTGTAGAAATGGGGTTTCACCATGTTAACCAGGCTGGTCTCAAACTCCTGACCTCAGGTGATCTGCCCGCCTCGGCTTTCCAAAGTGTTGGGATTACAGGCATGAGCCACTGCGCTGGCCTCCATAAAATATTCAACAGAATTGACAGAGACATTGGAACGGCCCCTGAAGCAAAAGTTTAGTAAAACTGAGATATCAAAACTCTGTTTTTGTTAATACTACGTATTATATTAATACTATGTATTATATTAATAGTGTGTATTAACAAAAGCAGAGGCAGCCAGTTGCTGATAACATGGATACATCCGAATATTATAGATGCTCAAAGGAAAATATGAAAATATTTCATTTAAGGCCAGGTGTGGTGGCTCATGCCTGTAATCCCAGCATTTTGGGAGGCCAAGACAAGCAGATCACAAGGTCAGGCGATTGAGACCATCCTGGCTAACACTACTAAAAATATGAAAAATTAGCCGGGTATAGTGGCATGCACCTGTAGTTCCAGCTACTCAAAAGGCTGAGGCAGGAGAATTGCTTGAACCCGGGAAGTAGAGGTTGCAGTTAGCTGAGATGGCGCCACTGCACTCCAGCCTGGGCGAAGGAACAAGACCACCCTCTCCAAAAAAAAAAAAAGAAAAGAAAAGAAGGAAAACTTCATTCAAAACAATGCTGGGCCAGGCACAGTGACTCTTGCCTGTAGTCCCAGCACTTTGGGAGGCTGAGATGTACAGATCTCTTGAACCCAGGAGTTCAAGACTAGCCTGGGCAACATGGTGAAAGCCCATCTCTATAAAAAATACAAAAATTAGTTAAGTGTGGTGGCACACACCTGTAGTCCCAGCTACTCAGGAGACTGAGGTGGAAGGATCACTTGAGCCTTGGAGGTCAAGGCTGAGGTGAGCCAAGATCAACCCACTGCATTTCAGCCTGGGCAAAAGAGTGTGACCTGCTTCAAAAATATATTTCTAAAACAATTAAAAAAATAAAGAGTCCTCTTAGATTGTTAGGCATCGGCTAAGATAAAGACTATTTGAAACATGTATAGATATACTTGACATTGAAGGACTGAAAGCTTTTCCTCTGGGATCTAGAATAAGTCAAGGCTGTTTGCTATCACTACTTGGTTCAACATTTTACTAGAGGATCTGGTCAGTAGAGTAAGACTAGAAAAAGAAACACAGGGCAGAAGAAATGGAAAACTCATTCATCACAATGATATAATTGGTCCAAAAGACTCTACAAATAAAATTTGGAATTATTAGGCGTGTTTAGCAAAATTTAAACTTACAGGATGTCAATCAATGTCATATACTCCATAGCAATAAACAAAATGAAATGTTATAAAAATATAATTTACAAGCATTTGAAAATGTTTACCTTGAAATAAATCTAATAAAAGATGAGAGTGCTCTATAAAAAAGTATAAAATCTTATTGGCCAGGCACGGTGGCTCACGCCTGTCATCCCAGCACTTTGGGAGGCCAAGGTCGGCAGATCAACTGAGGTCAGGAGTTCAAGACCAGCCTGGCCAACATGGGGAAACCCCATCTCTACTAAAAATACAGAAATTAACTGGGTGTGGTGGCACACGTCTGTAATCCCTTGGGAGGCTGAGGCAGGAGAATCGTTTGAACCTGGGAGGAAGAGGTTGCAGTGAGCTGAGATCATGCCACTGTACTCCAGCCTGGGTGACAGAGTGAGACTCTGTCTCCAAAAAAAACAAAAAGGATAAAATTTTATTGACAAACATCCATCAACTTAAAGATTTATGTATACATATTATTAAAATGTGGTATGTCCACACACATTTTAATTAAACTCAGCCATAACAAGGAATGAAGATCTGATACATGCTATGCCATAGGTCAGGCGTCCCCAAACTTTTTACACAGGGGGCCAGTTCACTGTCCCTCAGACAGTTGGAGGGCCGCCACATACTGTGCTCCTCTCACTGACCACCAATGAAAGAGGTGCCCCTTCCTGAAGTGTGGCGGGGGGCCGGATAAATGGCTTCAGGGGGCCGCATGCGGCCCGCGGGCCATAGTTTGGGGACGCCTGCCATAGGTAAACCTTAAAAATATTGCTGTGACTGAAAGAGTTCAGACACGAAAGGCCACATATACATGATTCCATTTATATGAAATGTTCATAATAGGCAAATCCTCCAAGACAGAAAGCAGAGGTTACTATGAACTGGGGAGTGACTGCTTAATGTATATTTAATGGGTATGGGTTTTTTTTGGGGGGGGGCATAATAAAAATCTTCTAAACCTAGATACTGGTGAGAGTTGCACATTATAAATGTATTAAAAGTCATTGAACTGTATACTCTGAAATGATTAAAATTGTAAATTTTATGTTGTGCATATTTTACAATACAAAAATTGAAATGGTGAATTTCATTTCAAATAATTTTTTTGATACACAATAAAGTAGACCTTATTAATCAAGTGATATATGTTATTCCTGGATGAAAACCTTACTATTATAAAGATGTCAATTCTAAATGAATTGATTGATAAATTAAATACAATCTCAATCAAAATTCCAACAGTTCCAACAGAGTGTTTTTGAAATTCAACAAGCCAATTCTAAAATGTGTATGAAAAGGCAGAAGAATAAGAATAGCCAAGGCACTCTTAAGAAAGAAGAAGGCCGGGCGCGGTGGCTCAAGCCTGTAATCCCAGCACTTTGGGAGGCCGAGGCGGGTGGATCACGAGGTCAAGAGATCGAGACCATCGTGGTCAACATGGTGAAACCCCGTCTCTACTAAAAATACAAAAATTAGCTAGGCATGGTGGCGTGTGCATGTAATCTCAGCTACTCAGGAGGCTGAGGCAGGAGAATTGCCTGAACCCAGGAAGCGGAGGTTGCGGTGAGCCGAGATTGCGCCATTGCACTCCAGCCTGGGTAAAAAAAAAAAGAAAGAAGAACAGGCTGGGTATGGTGGCTCACACCTGTAATCCCGTACCTTGGGAAGCCAAAGTGGGAAGACAACTTGAGGTCAGGAACTTGAGATCAGCCTAGGCAAACAGTGAGACCCTGTTTCTACAAAAATTTAAAAATTAGCAGGTTGTGGTGGTGTGTACCCATAGTCCTAGCTACAAGGAGACTGAGGCAGGAAAACTGCTTGAGCCTAGGTGGTAGAGGTAGCAGTAAGCTATGATCATGCCATTGCATTCCAGCCTGGGTGACAAAGCAAGACCTCATCTCTAAAAAGAAAAACAACAACAACAACAAAGTGGGGGCTTACTTACTATAAAGCTATAGAAATTAATACAGTAGTCCTATGTGCAGTGGCTCACACCTGTAATCCCAGCACTTCTGGGAGGCCAAGGCAGGTGGATCACCTAAGGTCAGGAGTTCAAGACCACCCTGGCCAAAACATGGCGAAACACTGTCTCTACTAAAAATACAAAAATTAGCCAGGCATTGTGGTGGGCACCTGCAGTTGCAGCTACTCAAGAGGCTGAGACAGGAGAATTCCTTAAACCTGGGAGGCGGAGGCTGCAATAAGCCAAGACATCACCACTGCACTCCAGCCTGGCAACAGAGCAAGACTTTTGTCTCAAAAAAAAAGAAATGAATACGGTGAGGTATCGGTGCAGGAACACATCAACAGACCAATGAAATAGAACGAAGAGCCTAGATCAGATGTAAGTACATGCAAACTCTTATTTATGACAGAAGTAACACCATAAAGAAGCAGATGGTCTTTTCACCAACTGGTGCTGGGACAACTGGATATCCATTAGGGGAAAAATGAAATTGAACCTCAACCTCAACACCATACAAAAATCAATGTTAGATGGATTACAGGCCTAAAAGTGAAAAGATAAGGCTCTTGGAAGATAATATAAAAGAATATCTTCAAGATCTTGGGTAAAAGAGTTTGTAGATAAAGCATTAATTATAAAAAGAATGACAGATAATTTGACGATATTAAAGTTGAGAATACCTTTTCATCAAAAGACACATTAAGGCCAGGCGCAGTGGCTCACGCCTGTTATCCCAGCACTTTCAGAGGCTGAGGCGGGAGGATCACTTGAGGCCAGGAGTTTGAGACCAGCCTGAGCAAAATAATGAGACCCCATCTCTACAAAAAGTAAAAAAATTAGCTAGGCATGATGGTGCACACCTGTGGCTCCAACTACTTTGGAGGCTGGGGTGGGAGAACTGCTTGAGCCCAGGAGGTAGAGGTAGCAGTGAGTCAAAAGACATGAAGAATAAAAAAAAAAACACAAAATGAGAGAAGATATATGTAATACATTTAACCATTGAGGATTCATATCTAGAATATACAGAACCCCTGTTAATCAACAAG